GATTATTCTTAGGGGTGGACTTTAGGGGGCTGAAACTGCGAAAGAGGGGGCCATTGGCAAAAATAAAAAATACGGGTTCCCTAAATTTGTCTTAAGAATCTGTTACCAAATTTTGTTCCATGAATTTCGGGACACCCTGTATATAAGGTGGTTTCAAACTCAGAATACAAAACGTAAATTTCTAGGTACCCTTTTGGTGTATGATATCTCCATTATTAGGAACATTAGCAAAAAATATTCTGGGATTTTTTTGGTCTTTCTTGTCTGCTTCTAAAATATTAATAAATACTTATCGGACACCCCGTTTACACTAGAATTTTTATTTGCCTATCGAGATTGGAAAAAAATGGCATACCTGTCCAGTTAAATGATTCAAGTAACTGTTGTAGGATTTAAAGTTGCAAAAAAAGTGCTAGATGCATTAATAAAAATAAGTTGGTAGGTTTTTTTAAACCAGAGGTATTGGTGGTATTTTGAATTAACCATAGATTAGAAAAATATAGTAATATAGTATGTTTTATTTGATATTTCAAAGTTGTAATTGCTTTAGGAAAATCTTAAGGTGATGAAAAAATAACAAACATTTTAAGTCAAAGCTAAATTGTCTATATTGTTTCATAATTTTGTTAACACAGAGTACATATTCTATGTATATTGCAGTTCTTTCAGTCAAAATAAGACGATTTAACTAAAGTTGCCTCTATTTAAGGTTGCTTCTAGGTGGCTTTGAAGTTGGTAAAAAAATTGTTTTTTGAATAATAAAATATTTGACCAATTTAACCAATTTGGTTTGTTTATACAGGGTGATTCGGTTATAATATTAAGGGAAGATAGGGTTATTAATTTTAAGGGAAGATAGGGAAAAATTAGTAGAATACGAATATGCATTTAAAAAAATTTTAAAATGCGTATTTATGCTGAGAAAAAATATGTTCAAATCATTATTTAAATCCCTTTTCGGACCGCTACTGACCGCTGACCCACAAAGGTTTATCGAGAGTGAATCTTATACATACCGGAATATTCAGTCATTAACCTAGCTTTTAATATGTTCTTAATCCATAGTGAACGACAACGAATAACAGTTTTCACTATGTTTTATAATTATTGAATATGAGTTTTTAGTACATATTATGTTAAATTAATTATTATTCAATATGTAGTATGTATACCTTAATGTGCGACTTGTTAAAGTACAGCTAAATAAAACACTCATCCGCCCATTATACTTTGTTAATAATGTTGGCATTCGATATACTTTAATTTTGTAACCAATTGCAAAATTCAAGATGGCTGGGGAAATCAGTTGTTTCACTTCAACGTTTGAAAGCTTTATAGGCCGCCTGCGCGTTCTCTGTTGCGAAGTAGGGCATCGAATTAACGGCAGACTAGTATAATTTTTTTTTTTTCGATTTTCTGTTTGTTAGGCTTTCCAAATACGTGGTTAAAATTAATGACATTATGACTGAATCACCCCAGTGACTTTTTCATATACTTAACTTAACTAAATTTATAGATTTTACAGAAATGGGAAAAATACCCCCACTCCTAGAAGAATAAGCTCATATTTTTTTACATTTTTGTCATAAGCAATGGCCTTCTTTCAAGTTCTTTTTTATGTAATTAATTACTCTAATATTTGATAATAAAAAGAAAATAATGCTTTGTCGAATTCATAAACTTGTAATCAAATGATCCATTTTCAGTAAATATCACTTCAAATTTAAATTTTTTTGCAATTTATGAACAGTGGTCTCTCACTGAATAGGATTCACTTACAATTTGGAAAATGGGAGAAATCTGAGATAAGCAAAATTTTTCTTTTTGGACTGAATTATGTCTTATTAAAAATCATTGTCATTTCCAATAATTTTGTGAAAGAACATTAACATAACAATAACTAATAAATTAATTATGTGGAAACCCTAACAAATAAAAAAAAATTAAAGAAAAAATTGGGGAAAATTCTTAATTCATTGATAAAACAAAAACTGAAGTTGTTAGGTCACCTGCAAAAGGTATTTTTCCCGTTTCTGTAAATGCAATGACTAAGGCTACTAACAAGTAACACTACCCAACTGTCACTCACCGCTCGGAATGAAACTTGGCACATCGATAGAACTCCAAAAAATATTGAACATGTATTTTTTTATTTTCTCGGAATTCACTTTCAAGGAGTAGACACCACCCCTAGAACAAGGTAAGAACGAAAATCTCCATAAATCTCCATAAGTGAAATAAAAAGAATACATATTTATCAACCAAACTCCCTCTCCCTATCCACCCAAAGTAACTAACCCTCCCACTCCAAGCATACTCCTCTCCTAAACTAATCAACCCCTGTACCCCAACATCAGACGCCCCATCCATCCATCTTAACCAACCAGATACTCTTGCACTCATCAACAGCACGGTGTGCTTGATTAGCGTGAGTCCTCTTGCCTCTCCCGTTCGGGGTGCTTGATTAGCATGAGCCTTCTTGCCTCTCACGGGGTTAATTGGTTTGGCTGGATAGGGTAAGTGAGTTTGGCTGATATACAGGGTGTTTTTAAATGAAGTAGCAAAAATGGTACCAGTGAATGTAGAGCCAACAATAAGAGGATTGAAGTAAAAATACCTTATATGAAAGTTGCACCCCTGAGGCGATATACCCTCTTAAAGGAGGAGATTGAAATTCACATTTTAATTTTTTTCTTTAACATGAGGAATGCTAGAGACACGAAACTTGGTATGAGCATCCTACTCATAAAGAGACAACTTTTCAATATTTGTTCGATCATTGGCGTATTTTATAAAGGAGTGAAACAGTCATAACAAATAAATTGTTATTTATTATATTAATAAATTGACACTTTCTGTCAACCAATAATTAGTACCAATTGATTAATTTATTATCAGAATACTTCTGGCAAATAATATTTATACCAATAACGAATATGTCGACATGCTCCACGTGTTTTTCGAATCCAGAAAAAAATAGTAATGCTGCAGTAAGATTATACCACCAAAGATGTCCAAACCGACCGATTCCTCATATACAAACATTGGCCTTGGTGGAAAGAAGGCTTTGCGAAACTGATAAAATTCAGCCCAATCGTAAGGGTGCCAGAAGAAGGCGTAATGTCCGAACTGTTGAAACTGAGGAAGCTATACTGGAACATCTAGAACAAGACTGTGGTACAAGCACAAGACAGGTGTCCAGGCAACTGCAAGTTTCTCACAGTCTTGTATGGAATGTAGCTCATGAAAATCTTTTATACCCTTTTCACCATCAACCTGTGCAAGAATTGAATCACCCTGATTTACCTAATCGCGTGGATTTTTGTCAATGGTACATTAATATTTCCAGGCATGACTTAAATTCCCTAATAAATATACTTTTCACCGATGAAGCAAATTTTCCTAGAGTAGGTGGTAACCATCATAATGTTCATTCATGGTCGGAAGAAAATACTCATGAAATATTTGTTTCAAGATGTCAACATAATTTCAGTTTAAACGTTTGGATGGGAATTGTAGGAAATACTCTAGTAGGTCCTTTTGTTCTTCCACACAGGCTTGGAGCGGCCGAGCATCTTAGATTTTTGAATGAAAATCTTCCAACATTACTTGAGGATGTAACCCTCGCTACACGTCAGGTGATGTGGTATATGCACGATGGGGCGCCTGCACATAGTACACTTGCCGTTAGAGAATGGTTAAATTTAAATTACCCGAATCGCTGGATTGGTCATGGTCATGATGTCCCTGTTTGTTGGCTTACACGTTCACCTGACCTAACGCCTATGGATTTCTTTTTGGGGGAACACATAAAAAGTATTGTTTATGCAACTCCTGTTGCCTCCTTAGAAGAACTACGCTTAAGAATATTTCAGGCAGCAGATGACCATCGCAATAACCAGGAACTGTTTGTGCGAGTGCGTTATAACTTCAACAGACGTATTAGGTTATGCTTGCAGAAAAATGGAAATTATTTCGAGAATATCCTTTAAATTTAATTTTGCATTTCTTATTTTTCGTTTGTATTAAATTTTATTTCAGATAAATAACTTTACCTAATACATGTTCCATAGTTATAAGTTATCAAACATTTTTCATTAATTAATAACAAATTATTCTTAATGTTATTATTAAATTACCAACTTATTGACAGAAAGTGTCAATTTATTAATATGATAAATAACAATTTATTTGTTATGAGATCCGCCTACTTTATTTTTACAAATTTTAGCAATTACCCCTTTAGTGAATGATGACGCATCTAACTTTTTTACTAGAAAAATATCGGTTTTATCGAAAAATTACAAGAGGTAAAAAAGTTGCACAATAAATCAGTCTTTCCAATAAATATTTTTAAATAAATAATTTGCTTCATACAAAAAATTTCTAATAAAATATTGCAATGGAGTTGACTGTTTCACTCTTTATAAAATACGCCAATGATCGAACAAATATTGAAAAGTTGTCTCTTTAGTAGGATGCTCATACCAAGTTATTTATGGCTCTACATTCACCGGTACCATTTTTGCTACTTCATTAAATTTTTTTTTTATTTCATTTATATTGATTTTCTCTCTTTTACTGTCATGTAGGGGTGGTTTTTATCCCTTGAAAGCGAATTCTGAGAAAATAAAAAAATACGAGTTCTATATTTTTTAGGGTTGTATCCATGTACCAAGTTTCCTTCCAATCGGTGAGTGACAGTTGGGTAGTGTTACTTGTAAGTAAAAAAGTAACATTTGTTTATAAATAATACGTTTCATTTAAGTAAAAAAAAGGCATTTTAGAGTTATTCGGAAAAAAACAAATTTATTCTCATCTTTGAAGTGCTCTAGTGGTTAAACGAAGCAAGTTGAGATATAAGTAAGGTTAGCTAAATTGTCTATTATAATTTTGAGTTCAACAACTTGAGGTAGTTCCACATACACGGAATATTGGGATACCCCGTACAGCATATGGTCTAACACAGCTGGCTTTATTTTTAACATAGTATTTTTCAGGTACCCTCTCAACATTAACCAATGCACTTGATGAAAAGGTAAAACTTGATTATTTAGTAATGATAATTTCTATAAAATTATTATCTCCAATGTTTCAGCTGCCACCTAAAAATGGGTTAATAATATATGAAGCTAATATATCTACTGAAATTTCTAACCGGTTTGCCAAAACAGATGTTGTATGGAGAGTGCATAACAGTAACGAGAGAGCAGCAAATGCGGAATTTAAAGTGGTCTTAACAGAAACAGCATTTATTAGCGCCTTTTCAATGGAAATTGAAGGTACAACTCACAAATCATATATAAAAGAAAAGGAAACAGCAAAGAATGTTTTTATGGGAGTAAGTACTTATATCTTTTATGATATATTTGTAAACTTTATAAAATTAATTTTTCGTTAGAGACCCTTGAAATTCCTAAGTACAGTCTTTTTTTAATATCTCAGAACCCCTGTTGTACGAGAATCACTAAATTTGGTACGCAGGGGTTTTATGACATGTGGAGTCTGATAGTGCTACGCTTTTTGGCGGGGAACCCCCTTAAGACACTTTTCCGTGGACCACCTTGTCTTCGGAGTCAAAAAAAATATATTTTTTCTTAAAAATTATTCGACTTCTAGAAAGCCATTGAATATAGAAACTTTTTTGTCTCTTGATATCTTTTCTATAAAATGCAATGTTTTCGAGAAAAATGGCAAAATGCGATCGAATGCATATCGTGATTTGTATGATATTCTAATTAAATTTAATTTTAAGAACTGAATTGTTACTAAAACTTCACAAAAACAATTTGAAACTTTAATAAAACAGTTTGTATGTTTATTTTTCAATTCACAATTATTTTTCATGAATTGCAGGCAAAGAGTGACCACAAAAACAGCATATTTTTAGCCTATTTTCTCACCCTTGCCAAAGACCTTAAAAAAATCCTAAAAATATTCTGCACATGTCAAATTATTGGTAATGAAAAATCAAGATGAGCATATTTTTTAGTTTTTCGAAAAATGTCGAATATCACCCCTATGATATGATGACACAAAACCGAAATGTATGAATAATATCAATAAGAATAAAAGCAATTCTTATTGTATTTTTTCTATAAAATAAAATCTTACAAACAGGAAATAATTTATTTTCATGATTAATGAGGGCGTGATATAGATTAAGTCCACCCTTAAATTCACTAAGGGGCTTAAATCATCCCCTAAATACGGCAAAAATAAAAAATTACTTGAAAAATCTAGGAAAAAGTAATAGGATATTCTAAATTATTAGAAATTCAAATCGTGTACTTCTCAGTAGTGTCTATAAGAAAACCCCCCCTGTAACGAAGGGGTGAACTACCCCCGAACATACGAAAATATCATATTGATATAAAAAAACTGTCGAATATTTTATAATAGATCTTACTTTTCTGATTAGAAAGATTAAGCTGACTTGACCTAATTATTCCAAAATTTTTTTTTATAAAAATCAACCCTCATCATCCCCTAAACATAAAAAAATCAAAAATATTTGAAAAATCTTGATTTTTCAAGTAATTTTTGATTTGTTTCGTATTTAAGACATGACTTAAGCCCCTTAGCGAATTTAAGGGTGGACTTACAACTATATCACGCCCTCATTAATCATGAAAATAAATTATTTTCTATTTGTAAGATTTTATTTTATAGAAAAAATACAATAAGAATTGCTTTTATTCTTATTGATATTATTCATACATTTCAGTTTTGCGTCATCATATCAACCTCTAATTAGGGGTGATTTTCAACATTTTTCGAAAAACTAAAAAATATGCTCATCTTGATTTTTCATTGCCAATAATTTGACATAATATGCAGAATATTTTTAGGATTTTTTTAAAGGTCTCTGATAAGGGTGAGAATATCACTCTTTCTGAGTCCAATAATGACATCTCCTGACGATTCTAGCCCAACAGTTAATCGGGAATCGATTTCGAAATGAGTTTTCTTCAGTTAAATTCAAGATATTTCCTTCTTGATAGTGTTAACAAATGCCGTCTTCCTGCATTGGGTGTTCTTACCATTACAGAACCCGTCTCGATATGTTGCCAATGCACACGTGAAAACATCGAATGATATGGATGTATTTGTTGTGGAAAATCTCACAATTTTTTCGACAAACACAGAAAAGATAATAATCTGATGATAACTGTCATTGTTAATTGCGAATGTCAGCAACCTACGATTAACACGTAGAATTTCATACAAATCACAATATGCATTCGATCACATTTTGTCACTTTTCTCAAAAACATTGCGTTTTGCGAAAATATCAAGTGACAAAAAGTTTATAAATGCAGTAGCTTTCTAGCAATAATTTTTAAGAAATTCGAATATGTTCCAAATTTTTTTGGCTCCAAAGACAAGTGGGCCCATCAAAAAGTGTCTTAAGGGGGTTCCCCACCAAAAAGCATACCACTATCAGATTCTACATATCATAAACCCCTGTATACCAAATTTAGTGATTCTCGTACAACAGGATTCTGAAATATAAAAAAAAGACTATTCTTAAGGGGGATTTCAGGAGGCTGTAACTCCGAAAGAGGAGGTCGCTTGGTAAAAACAAAAAATACAGGTCCCCTAAATTTGTCTTAAGAATCTGTGACCAAATTTTGTTGCATTAATATCGGGACACCTGGTATATCATTTCAGTACTTTTTAAGAGAAATTCAATTATTTTAATAGAAATATAAATGAATATGAATAAATGGAAATGTGCCGACCAAGTTATATTTGTGTATAAGCTCTGGTCATCCCTATTGTTGGGTACATATGGATGGAAATATTATGAAAAATTTAAGTTATCGACTAAACACAGTCTGTACAATACTACTGAGATAGAATTCCAAGAAGACCCCTGCTTCACTTCGTGGAATTAACACATGAGGTAAAAGATGTTGGCTGTGTGGCATTGACCGTAGCAGCTTGCAGTGCATACTGTGTTTTGCAGTTACAAAGATATGTAAATATATCGTCCTGCACATTTTCAGTGTAGTTTCTTATTAAAATTATTAAATGGGGGTGAAAAATAAAAGAAAGGATTTTAATTCCCAGATGAAGAGTATCTTCTTTAAAGTGTATAATTATTTTAAACCTATTTTTCCAAATGAAAATAAAATACAATTAAAAAACACTGTTGTAGCTGATACAGAAGTATTTTTAGCCACTATAGGGATAATCTTCAGTGAAAGTGTCGAGTTACAAGCTCTAAATAATGATGATGGTGAAGTAAAATTTAGTTCTCCTAAAAAACGCAAGAGAATATGAACAAAAACAACACACCAAAATGGAAACAAAAGGATATTAGAAATATGATTTATAATTTTCACATTTATGATTTGTACTGTAAAAGAAATAAAAACACATTTTAATCCAAAAAATGTACTCTTTATATATATTTATTAAGTACATATATTATTTTAATATTCTGAAAATAATGTGGAAAATTTCAAGACACCCCTGTCGCTGTAAATTGTTATAGTAATTCCGATAACAGGACTTTATTGGCTTATTTTTTTCTTGGTATTCTATCTCAACAAACATTGTATGGACTGTATTTTGTAGTAATTTCCTGTAACTGATTTTTCAATAATTTGGTAAACCATTATTTGTTAAATTTATTTTTTGATTATTTTAATTAGTGGTAAAAACTGGAAAAAGTCAAACTGGCTAACCGGGTTCCGTAAAAACTGATTTTTTGTAAAAGCAGTTAGTCAAATAGTGGTTAAAACTGGATATTCCAATACCGGGTATTCGAATAACCGAATATCTGGTTACTTCAATAATGGCCAAAACTGAAGATCTGTTTGGTGTTTTGAAAAACTGACAGGATATAGGATGTTATTCACATATTCACATATTCACATACAGTAAAACTCGGTTATAGCGAGCATTCACGGGAACGCAAAATTTGCTCGTTATACGCGAGTGCTCGTTATAGACGTCGCCGTCGCCAACTATGCTGAAAATTATTGGACATGGACACATAATTATAGCTGCATTGCACTTGTATTTTTATTTTCAAACATATAATATTATTTATCTACATAACATAGATACGTATAACTGTAGGTAAGTTACATTACATAGCATTTATTATTAACGAAAAAATTCTGTAATATTTTTCTGCACCACTCTTTTGCTTAATATCTCCTAACTGATATTTCTTTGCAACCGATCAGCGGTATTTAAGAACTGCTCGTTTTCCGGATATTTGAATTTGACATATGATACTATGGTTTTTAACGCAGAGATGGCTTCATGTGTCGAAGGAACTGTAACCTCATTGCATCCCGTCTCTTCTTCATCACTTTCTTCATCTATTGATGGGTTAATCGCTAATTATGTGATTTGAATTTCATTTGGGAATTCAGCCACTTCGAGATTTTCGTCTACCATGTCGTACTGAACCAAGTCAAAGACGTCAAAATCGGATATGTTGTTATTTCTACTAGTCATAACAAGTTTTTCCGTTCATTTGATGTCATGTGCGTAAAAACTGGTTCTACGATAACTCGTTATAGTTGAGCTCACTGTTTACGATAACTCGTTATAGCCGAGATCACTGTTGCGCGGGACCAAAATCAAAGCTCGTAATAGCCAAGCCAAGCCGAGTTCGTATACACGTGTTACATAGGGAATTCGGAAGGGACATTTCAATTTGCTCGTTATAACCAAGTGCTCGTTATATCCCCTGCTCGCTATAAGTGAGTTCAACTGTATTTTAAATTTTAAAGTTAAATTTAATGTTAAAAGTTAAAATGTTAAAACAGTTACAATTATAAACTGTGGTTCTTCAATTTATTATTTAAAATAACCGGTTTTCAGGTTTCATAAAAATCCAATTTCAATTGCCATCACTAATTTGAATAGATTTGCTTTTTAAACAATGCAATTTTAAATTATGTAATAGTATTTAAACTGCTAAAATTAATTTCTTTATCCTTTACGGTTATTAAGTTGAAACTTGGATTAAAATTGCTGCATAATTTAATTTTAATTCACTCTTAAAAGCAATTGCTTTTTCAATTTGTAACTGGTTGTACCTTCAATGTGCAAGAAAAATTGATATCACCATAAATATTTACAATTTTGAAAGATAATTTTTTTGACATAATTATGTATTCGATTAAGATTCACCTTGATTTATAGATAAGTTGTTTGTAGAAAACGAGCTTCTAATAACAGTAGTGTGGCAGAAGTGTTACACTATTTTGGAGATACTTTTCCTGATATAGACTGCTATTTTTCTGTTTCTTCAAGACTCATGGTAAATCAATGTCAATTCTTTCCACATGAATTGGTATTGTCCGAAATATATTATTATGGCATGCGGAAACTGCAGTTTTAAAAAAAATGTTATTTGTTAACGTACCTTCATAGCCTTTGTCCGATTTACATCTAATTCGACTTCATATTTGTTTTATACTTTATACTTAACTCTACAGATGCAGATAATAAAAAAATATTTTGGCAAAAGCTATACCGAAAAATGTATTTTTTTGAAGGTGAAAACATTTTTGTATATGTTTGTGGGAAAACAATTACTGTTTCAGAAAATATTTTTAGTATTAAATGGACCTTATTTGATTTCATTCGTGACCATAGGTAAAATTTTTTGTAATTTATATTTTTATTGCACGGTTTAAATCGTCAGTACTTAAATTGATGTGTGCTAATTCTGCCCGGGTTCGATTGCCAAGATCGTAGATTAGCTATGCTTGTACGGAGGATTGGCACCCTCTGTGCAGGTATGGTAGGGTGGAAGAATGTTGGCTTGGGTCAATGTGAGAGATTGACGCAAGTTGGCATTTGACCATCCCTCCAATTAATGAGGTTTTTTCCTCATTCCTGCACTGAATGGTGGTTAGGGCCTACCAACATGTCATTCGTGGGCTCAAATGTGACATGCTTAATAATAATAATACGCCGCCTCCTCTCCCGCACAAGTCTCCGACTTCTGGGCTAATTCTCGTGGTTAGAATGAGGGGTAGAGATATTATTATTATTATTGATAGTAATGATATTTACTAATTTTACATTTAAAAGTGTATTTAATAAAAACATATTTCAACAATTTGTTGTGAGACATTGTGAAGGAATACTGCAACTAGTGCAACTAACAGCAAATCATTTTAGTGTTAGTTTGTGCTACTGTTATCATTACGAGTTTTATATCATTTCATTTTGACTGATATATATTTTTATACAGTGCGTCCCAGAAATAACGCAAAAAATTCGTATTTTATTTTGTGTTGCCTTTTCACAATAACGCTAAAACATGTCATTTAGTAAATAGGAATTGACGTTTTGTCACGTTGCTTAAACCTTTTTTGCACTATAAATTTTTAAGCATAAATGGATAGCCCTTTTGAAGGGAAATGTGTCAATATAGGGCTTGGCCTACTTTGACAGGTGCGAAAAAAGCCAACGAGTGGAACGGACATGGTTTGAAATAACAACAAAAGTAGGTATCATAAACTGATGCGACAACAGTGCTACAGCAAAAAATGTGTTTCGGTTGATTGTAGGCACATGTTTTTATGTAGATTGGGTAGGTTCACCCGATCACAGCGTCTCGGCATTGTTTTGAAGACGACAGTTAGCAAATGAAATAGTGTCTCATATCATTGTGACAGTTACAAATACCATAACTTTACATTATGATGGTGCTGGGTAGATATAATGAAGTACGTCAATTATTCAATGCCAAGTATCCAGAACAACCAATACCTCCTTCTACAGTACGCAGATTAGTACGCAAATTTGAAGACGCTGTTAGAGATCTGTCTGGATCCGGAAGGCCAACCAGAGTGATGGAAAATGCTAGGCAAAATGTTATGTTTAGCTGTCACTGAAAATCCACACACTGCTGTTCGTCCTACCGCCAAAAACGCCAACACATCAATACATAAAAACATGTACCTACAATCAACCAAAACACAAAACATCTACAAATTCCCATTTTTTGCTGTGGTACTGTTCTCGCATCAGTTTGTGATACCTACTTTTGTTGTTATTTCAAACCATGTCCATTCCAATCGTTGGCTTTTTTTTTGCACCTGTCAAAGTAAAGTAGACTAAGAAACCCTATATCGATGCATTTCCCTTCAGAAGGGCTATCCATTTATGCTTAAAAAAATTAAGTAGTGCTATTTAAAAAAAATGCTGATGACATCATAGGTTTGTGTAACAAAAATGACAATTCCTATTTACTAATTGACGTGTTTTAGTGTTTTTGAGAAAACGCAACATAAAATAAAATACGAATTTTTTGCGTTACTTCTGGGACGCACTGTATAATATTAAAATACAGTTTCATTCTAAAATTATTAACAAATATATGTTTGTGAAATTAAAAAAATATGCACTTAGAAGTGATTGCAGAAAAAATAAATGTTTACATATAACAAAATAAAGTTTGGTCGCCATCTTCTCTAATTGTTAATTTTTTTCTGTTAAAAGTATTTAAATCATCTTAAAATGTACTAAATGACATTTTTTTTTTAGTTTCGTAATATCTCTGAACTAGCGAGATAATGTAAACATTAGCCTTATTTGGCTCACCTTGTATAACATTAATATGATTGCTTCAAAATATTATTGTTTGCTTTCTAGGCTGTAGCTCAAGGGCAAAGTGCTGGTCTCGTTGAAGCAAAAACTAGGGATTCCAAAGAATTTGTAGTGTCAGTGAATTTGGAAGCTGGTTCTGTGGCAGTCTTTTCTTTGACATATGAAGAAATGCTGCAGAGAGTGCACGACCAATATGAACTGGTGTTAAATATCTGTCCAGGTCAAATCATAGATGATTTAAATGTGGAGGTAATGAAGTTTGAGTTTGTTTCCATCTATTCCTAAAGTTACATTAAGGGCCTTTTTCAAAACCTGTAGTGAGTGCACATGTTTTATGCTGAATTGTTTCTAGTTTCATTGATGTTTCTAAAAAACCACGGAATATCTTTTCTAAATTAGCCATATTCTGCACATTCAAAAATGTTTTTATTGTTCATCGCTACGTCTGCATCGAAATAAAAAAATATGCTGACTTTAAAATAATAAAAGTAATCTGTTTCACATGAAAGTTCGCGGACTCGAAAAATGTTGTCTATAATACAATAGTATATTGTGTGGTAAGTTGTTTATTGCCCAAGAGAGCGGGCAATAGACAACCGCACGAATTGCACATACTATTTTTTATTACGAATGCAGTGAAATCATAGAGTCCAGGGCAATTCATAGGCAATTCGCGTGCGATAAGTAATATTACCGCACACAAATAAATAGAGTGGGCAAACAGCTAGTTACCGACCTAAAAAACATGCGAAAAGATAGGACTTATTCTTCATTAGTAATAAAAAATTATTTTCCATTGTAGTTTCACTCGCTGCCAATTTTATACAGTTCGTTTAAAAAGGTAACAACAAGCAACACTGATAACATATAACCGACTTTGGAAGCTGCCCAGTAACGGCATAGACAAAAGTTAAAGCACCATTTAAAAAATATTAATTTCAGATTGGTATTCTGAGGAATGTGCACTATTATCTCTAAAAAACTGACTCCCACTTGAATTTTCACTCTGTAAAAAAGGGGAAACAAGATCTAGTTCTTGATTCATGTAATTTTATGTTTTTCAGGTTCGTATTAATGAAAGCCGACCCTTGAAATTTGTAAAAACACCACCTTTAAGATCAGGGGACAATATAAGAACAAATGCAAAGTTTGACAAACATCTTGAGCCATGTTCTAATATTAAAATCATAAATTCAAAGACTGCTTGTGTTAAGTTCCGTCCTGATTCTGCGGTGCAGAAGAGAATGACACATTATTTAGGAAACAAGGTTTGGGAAGGCTTGTCAGGACAGTTTGTTGTGCAGTACGATGTAGAAAGAGAACAATGCAATGGAGAGGTAAGAGAAGAGGCATTTTAGTTCCATTATTTTTTGCATTCCAGAGTTGAAAATTATGATCAATTAAAATTATTTTATATACGGGCCTGATATATGCCAGAAACATAACATCTAAAAACCTTGTTATAGTACAGTTATTAAGAATTCTGTTGGCATTTTTGTTTTGTTATGAAGAAAAGGTGAAGATCTACAGAAAAATTCTTTGGCTTTTCTTTAAAAAAAAACAAAAATTCTATATCATAATTGATCGAAATTCTTGGAAAAGTTGAAATTATTTTATTAACTTTATCTGGTATTTGTTTCCGCTATCTTTCTTTGCGTGAAAACTGTGTAGTTTGTTCTAACCTGAAACAGCCTTAAAGGTTACAAATGTCATTAAAACAAAACTGATTTTCATATACTAAAATATTTCGACAGATTCTTCTAGCCCATAACAGCAATGGTTCAATGTCAATATTTCCAATTGATGCAATCAAAAACACCAATAACAGTACAAAATTTGACCAGAGAGCTCCACCTGAATCTCTGTATAAACAAAAAACAGTTATGAAATAATGTCCATAAGTAGCATAATTATTATCGAAATATGTATTAAATATTTAAAATCAATCTTTTGGAAACAATTATTAAAAAATAGAAGTGTTATGAGGGAAAGCCATTAAATATTAGAAGTTATTTGATATTATTGTTATAAGAATGCTTCAGAGAACATGGTTAAAAAAGCTTATGAAAGTTATCATAAGTTTGTGGAGACTCTTTACAAAATATCTAAAGTTACGCATCCTTCTTAGACCGTCTTGTTTTGCATGTCGAAATGTAAACATCATAAACGTGTAACATCGTTCATCGTAAAAATAAAATCATTTGGCGTCTTAATAATAATACAGTGCCTTCATAAATGTCCAAGTCCCACGTGACCATGACTGTTAGGCAACTAAATTTACACTAGAGGCAAATTCAGAAGATCATCCAGTGGAGAACATATTACATTTCTTTACAAACATTAAACTTTAATCTTCAAAATGTTCAAAAACGCATTTTAAACATTTTTATTTACATAATAATGATGCCTACTCCTCTAAGATATTTAAAATTTTTGTCCCATTCTACAGGGTGTTTGGAAAAGTTGGTACAAAATTTAAGGAGGTGAAAGTAGAGCGAAAAATAGTAAAAAAAGTTGCTATAAACATTGGCCCTCCTGAGCACCGTTACTGAGATATGGCCCTCCAAAGGAGGCTTATCATTTGGATATTTTTTAAAATAACTTTTTTTCTGATTAAGATAATGGAATTAAAATTTTAGGTAATAATCATACCATAAGGATCTTTAACTATTATAAGTTTCATCAACATAAGTAAATAAGGATAGTTTTCTAGCTACCCTTAAAAGAAATTTTTTGAAGTTCTTTTATTCCTTTGAATTATGAAGCAAATAATATTATTTTTTAATGAATTTGACTTTTTTGAAGAAAAAATGTCCCTACTTTTTTTTCGAAATCTGCTTAGTTTAGTCAGAAATAATTATTTTTTAAATAATGTATGGCTCAGAACAGTAACTTTTTTTTAACATTTTTGCATAGTAGGCATCTTTCATGGTGACAGTTTTGTTGTAATGATACTAATGATTGTCATTTTCGTGTGCTATTGTTTAAATTCTTATGTTTCTTTATCTTCTTAGTTGTGATCTTTGCACTTAACTTTGTATTTCACTCGATTTTTTTACAACCATGAACCATCATGAGCAGACGCTCATTTTACACATGCAGTAGGATTACGTTAAAAAAATCCTAAAATTACTTCGTCTAAATCTAGTCTACGCCTCCTTGGATGGTCAAATTCACGATATCTTGGAGTTAGGGCTCCTAATTCCATAGCTTTTGCATGAATTTTTCCAAACAATTTTGTAGAAGGTTGCCTTCTATCAAGGAAATGTTGCCGATACTCTTTTTGAGCCGCCACACTATTTCCATTACAGAAATCATAAATAAAATGCATATTGGCATATTCACGGTTAGTAAAAGCATGATGGTTCATGGTTGTAAAAAAATCGAATGAAGTGCAAAGTCAAGCACAAACATCACAACTAAGAAACGTAAGAATTTAAATGATAGCACGGGAAGGTGACAATCATTAGTATCATTACAATGAAACTGTAAAAATGAAAGGTGCCTACTATGTGAAAATATTAAAAAAGTTACTGGTCTGAGCTATACATTATTTAAAAAATAATTATTTCTGACTAAACTACGCAGAATTCGAAAAAAAAGTAAGAACACTTTTTCTTCAAAAAGTCTAATTCATTAAAAAATAATATTATTTGCTTCATAATTCAAAGGAATAAAAAAAATTTGAAAATTTTTTGTAAAGGGTAGACTATTCTATCCGCGCGCCATTATTCGATGGCTAGAAATTGGCCTCAATGATTTGGGATCGAGGGGGATTATCCCTCTTTATCCTGCCTCATCTCGTGTAGGCCTGGACAGCCTTCGTAGGTGGGCCCCATCCGTCGTCTACCCCGACCGCAAATGCGACCGGTGTAGGCGCTTTGTGGGACCTTCTTTTGTCCTGGCTGGGCCCCGCCGGCTAGGGCCCTTTCTTCTGGCGCTCTTCTTGCTTCGCCGGCTCGTCTGTGTCAACCCCGGGGGTGGTGTCATGTTTATGGTTGGGTAGGGTAGTGCGGCTATGCAGCCTGGGATGCGCTTTGCTAAGGTGGCCTTTAGGCTTGCGTGGGAAGGGAGAGGTAAGGAGGGTATGGGGGGGTGTGTATGTGTGTGTGTGTGTCGTTGTCTTCGTTTCTTGATCCTAGCGGTCTCTGAAACAGAAAAGGTTAGCGGGCAGGGGGGGGGGGGTGTCGTTGGGGTGGTCACCCAGGGTCAAAAAGTTGGTGTCTAGGTCTTTTGTGTTTGTCGGTCACGTCGGGTACGTAGTCAACGGCTTGCCTGAGGAGGGGATTGTCATGTCTAGCGGCTACGTCAAACCGTTTCTCCGCGTTTTGTCTTATTGTCTGTGTAGCGTTTGTGTATTGTAAGTCTCGTAATATGTCAGAGTTTCTTACGTACCAGGGCGCGTCGGTGGCCGTGCGGAGGGCTATGTTTTCCACAGCCTGTAATGACTTTAAGTGGCTTTTTGCCGCGTGACCCCACGCCGTGGAGGCGTAGGTTAGCTGCGGTTGAAGTACCACCTTGATAAGCGTTCGCTTATTCCTTAAACTGAGGGTGTTTCCACCTTTGAGTAAGGGATAGAGCCTAGCCCTGGTGGTCTTCGCTCGCGCCACCGTCTCCACGATCTGCGGTTTCCACGTGAGACGCTGGTCCATCGTCACGCCCAGGTATCGTGTTTGTCGATTCCAGGAGATGGGTTCCTGGGATAGTGTCAGTCTGTCGAGGTTTTGTGGGATTTTTCGTTTGGTAAAAAGGATAGCCGAACTTTTGTTGGGATTAATTTTGACTTTCCACCTGTTGCACCAGGTTTCAAGTTGGTCTAAGGAGTTTTGGAGGAGGGAGACGGAATATCTAGTATCTACGGATTGGGATTATTCTATCCTTATTTATAACCGATTTTGATGAAACTTATGATAGTTAAAGACCCTTATGGTATAATTAATACCTACAATTTTCATTCCATTATTTTAATCAGAAAAAAAGTTATTTTAAAAAATATCTAAATGATAAGACTCCTTAGGGGTCATCCATTAATTACGTGAGGTTTTTAGGCCACTTTTTTACACCCTCCCTCCCCCCTGGTGATATGTGGTGAGGTTGTAAGCTACGCCCCCCCCTATCTAACATCACGTGTATCTGTTTTTGTTAAAAAAACTTCAATATTTTCAGTATATTTTTTCATGAAAATCAATAAAAAAAAACAGCAGCGGTTGTCAGCCAGCGCGGGCGGGGCGACGGACGATCTTACAAAGATTGACTACGTCAATTGCGCGTTACTTATCGAGATGTCATATCGTAGCTCACAACAAGGCATTCTCGGGCATGGTTGCGCGAAAATATACACGTGATATGAAACAACAACCCCCCCTCCTCCAATGTGGGCAATAGTGATGTTATCCAAAGCTCCCCCCTCCCCTATTTGGACCTCAATTAATGGATGACCCCTTATCTCAGTAATGGTGCTCCGGAGAACCAATGTTTATAGCAACTTTTTTTTACTATTTTTGGCTCTATTTTCATTTGCTTAAATTTTGTACCAACATTTCCAAACACCCTGTATATTGAAAAAGTATTTTTTGATTAAAAATGTTGTTCTCTTAAAAATATAGGATCTTTTGTAATCCACTTTTATTCTAGATAAAATAATGTTAATAAAATACAAAAAGTTCCAGTCTTTTATTAATGTTTTTTCAATCTTGACATAACACATTGTGTTTTTTTCAGGTAACAAAAACATATTATGTTAATGAAATTTATAAAGCTGTGCAAAATAATCACCTTCGTTTTCCAAACACAAATTTACTATGTGTTTCATTTGGTGTTATAATATTTATTTTATCCTCAATTGCTGTTTCCAGCTCTTCAAGTGTGTGGAAAGGCTGTTTAAATATTTTAATTTTGATATGGCCAAACAGATAAAAATCTAAAGGTGCCAGATCAGGGCTTCGAGCAAGCCACAAACCCCTAGTAATCAATATATCACCATAAAATTCATGAAGATATCTTGTAGTTTCTGCTGCAGTATGTGCTGTGGCTAAATATTGTTGAAAATACCCATGCTACAGTTCAGCGTCGTACATTAATTTCAGGACTTGTTACAGTTTCGATCTTTATTTATTGCTCCTATTATTGGTCTTCTTGAAACTGCTATCCCTATCTCTATCTTCTGATCTAATCAAAGTAAAACTGTAAGATTTTATGTTGATGAAAAAATTAATTTCAAAGATATACTAATTAGTGGATCCAAGATGGATTTTGACTTCGCGAAAATTACTGGAAGAGAGAACTTTTTATTTTTCGCTTTGTAAAGTTGTCAGAAACAACATATAAAAAGTTACCA